GTACTTGTATACACAAAGGGAAAAAAAGAATGCGCAGTAGCATTCATACATACAAAGATAGAAGACGAGCTATCTTCAAACTACTGCAAATACTTGTACTTCGGGGTACTTGTATACACAAAGGGAAAAAAGAAGGCATGGTGTCACTTTCTAGACTGAAACTGGTCTTTCTCTATCGACAAGGCTTTCTCTCAGGTGTCTCCAAGGTTACTCAGCAAGTCTCAAGGTCAATCAAGAATGGCTCTCATGGCTCAGTGGATATCTAGTAAGTATCTTCCAATGGTGTTAAAAGTATAATACACTAAAGTCCTTTTGTTTAGGTGTTTGCAAGGCTGGTCATCAAGGTCTGTTACTGGTCCAAGACTGACTCTCTCCCTGGTTCTACCCTGTTATGGTTAGCAAGCTCAAGATCCCTATGTATACTCTACTTATGGTGGTGTCTAAGGCGTCTCCAAGGTTGGTCATCATGGTGTGTGACTGGTGCAAGACTGTCTCCCTTTGGTTCTGGTTCTTTCAAGCGTTTCAAGGTATCCATTGAAGGACTCAACAAATCTTCACAATGCCGTCTGCTTTCTTCAGCCTTGTCTGTTTGAGAGTCTGATCAGCTCTTGTGCAGGCAAGAAGAGGGTTTGGTTAGGCTTGATCATCCTAATCAAATCCACAGTACACTGGTGTTTCTCTGTGGTTATGCTCTCCTTCCATAGATAAGTTCCAAATGAGAATGCATACCCTACTTACGACTTTTTTTCTCATAGGTATCCATCAAGGTACACTGGCTGTGTTTCTTTAGGCTAGCGAGCTTCAAGTTCTCAAGGTTTGTTCCACTCAAGCTGGTTTCTTAGGTGGCTGAAAGGTCATCCATCAAGACAAACAGTAGGTTCAAGACTCTCTCCTACACTCTCTGTATGGCTGTGCTTCTTTTGGTCGGTTAGTTTCAAGATGACAAAGGTTGTTCTACTCAAGTTGGCTTTTCTAGGTTCTACAAGGTGATCAAGCAAGGCGTACTGCTGATTCAAGACTTTCCCTCTGCGCTTGTGCTCTACTTTGGTCAGTGAGTTCCAAAACAGCAAGCTTTGCACTACTCACCGTATTTTGTAGGTATCTGCAAGGCTATCTGTCCATGTTTACTGCTGGCTCTCGATCGTCTCTTCTTGGTTGCGCTTGGTTATGCTTGGTTGTGCTTGGTTGCTTGGTTTGCTTGGTTGCTTGGTTGTGCTTGGTTGCCTTGGTTATGCTCGGTTGTGCTTGGTTGTGGTTAGCAAGTTCCACGATCACAAGGTCTGTTCTACTCAAGCTGGTTCCCTAGGCGTCTTCAAGACTATCCATCAAGACATACCGATACCTCAAAACTGTCTCTCTTTGATAATGCTTTATCTTAGTCCGTAAGTTTCTAGATGGCGAAGGTTTACTCTACTTACATTGGCTTTCTAGGTATCTGCAAGGTCTTTTGTACAAGTATCACTGGACTTTCAAGACTGGTTTTCCTAGCTCTGGTTCTCTTTGGCCTTCCAAGGTGTTTGTTCAAGGCTTCAACAGGTCTTCATGGTGTGCGTTTCCTTCTTTGAGTCTTCTTGTTTCTGTTTAAGGGTCTGATCAGCTCTTGTGCAGGCAAGAAGAGGATTTAGTTAGGTTTGATCACCCTGATTAGATCCACAATATGTTTGTGCTGTGTTTTTTTTTACTAGTGTCTCCCCTCTCCTTCTAACTTGTACTTTTCTTTTTTGTTGTCTTTGTGTTGTATTTACAGATAGATTAGGTGCTTTTCTCCGTTTATGCTGTTCGTTTAGTTCGTGTTTTATCGTTTCCAAAGAAGCTATAAAAAGCCCTCTCTTGTGTATACTCTACAAGCATTGTGGTGTTGATTAGCCAAAGCTTTAGGTTTTTTTTCTTTTTGTCTTACTGTCATGCTCAATGTTGGTTTGATCTCTAGGTATTCCTCAAGCTTAGTGTTTGTTTCTCTTGTTTTTCTTTTCTTTTTTTGGACTGAAGAAGGTTTTGTCTGGTGTCTTTAATGTAAGTAATAGTTGTCTTTTTCTTGTTTTACAGTCAGTGCTTGTGGTTGACTAGATCTTGTGCTTGCGCATTGTCTATTCATCTTTAGTTATTGGCAAAAACAATCTTAAATAAAATTAATGGATTAAATCCACTCACGTCTGCTGAGATTGAATAAGCTAAAAAAAAACCATTTGAAGGCCTTGATAAAATAGCGCTAGCAATAAAAGTGATAATTATTCATCATCTTTCTATTTATCAAATGGCAAACAACAACTGATTAAATATAAGCTTTTCTTAGGTTAGAAAGCAGTAAAAGATTTCTTTTTATTGGTTTGTTTTGTTTGTGTTATGCAATTGAACAGTGATACACATCGTATTGTCTATCTCTTTAAAACGCGTAATGCCCTCTTGAAGATTAACTTTTCTTTGCTCATATTTGAATACAACAAGGAAATAAATTGCTATCTATGTATACCTCTTTAAAGAACAAAAAGTAGAGGTCTAAAAAATAAAAGGAATACTTGGACTGTATTCTCTCAATATAAACAATGATATCAGTATGATTATGTCCTCTTTCCTCCCTTTTCTTCTTCTTCTTTTTTCTGTTACTTTACTCTTCTACTCTCTTGGCCTCGTATGCAAATCTACTAGCCTCTTCTCATCCATCAAGGAGGTAAGATAATTATTCTAAAAGACACGTTTACTGACTCTCTTATAGGGAACCACTTGTTTCCGTACAGTGATGTTCCAAATGCCCTCTTCTTGTCGGCGATGGCATCCATTCGGCCCTGAACTACGCAGGGCCAGTTTGGGCCGGTTCATTCGGCTCTGAACTACGCAGAGCCGCGTGGGCTATGAAAATCAGCACATTAGAGGGTAGCATGATGGCTTTGGTCTTTTGGTAAGTTATATATGCTTGAAAGCTTTTTTTTTAATCATCATTCTAGTTACTTGTTTCCTGGTTCATCAAGGCTCTCTTCTATGGCTTTACTTTTGTTCTATTTCTGGCTCTATTTTGTATTTGGTGAATCTTTCTCAAACCTCTTCTTCGAACCTCTTCTTCAAAATAATTGCCTCTTCCTAATATATGAAATTACTACACATCATTAAAAAAATAAACAAGTCATTTTTCTTCTTTTCTTATCATATATAGTCATGATAAATCATTAATGTGCTTATGCTTCTGTATTATTCAAAACTGCTATGTTTAAATTGAATTCGGGTAAAAGCTAGCATGTCTATGAAATAAACAGGTTTTCAATATGAGACAGACCTAGGTGTGCTTCCTTTTTTATAAACAAAAATTGCAGCTTAAATGATTTTACTAAAGGTACTAGAGAAGACATTTATTATGTTCAGATTACCACGATGGCTTTGTTAAGTTGGAATTCTACTAGAAAGAGAATTGCAGGGTTGAACTGTAGCTCCGTATTAAAGAGCATCTCGCTTTCATAATTTTGAAGGTAATGAAAGATAAAATACGTTTGTATAAAGACGAGTTAATTTGAGCATTCCCCTCAGATCTGCATTCAAAGTTGATTGCACACTGTAATCAGTACAAAGGAGGCCCATTTCAGTGGATACTGACTATTAGAGGGGTACTCTTTGTAGTATTTTTTGACGTATAAAATACACACGAACAAACTATATTATAACACATGCTATTTTTGAGGCCAAAGCGAGTAGCTTTGGATATTGCAAATGATGAATACCATACAAAAGGAGGATTGTCTATTTTAAATGCCATTTCCTTTTTATCTGGGGCACCAGATTCACACTCTAATTTGATCAGCATTCTTTTTCTGTTTGCCAATAGCTCAAACTGTATTGGTGGATCC